ACTAAAAGATGCACACAGGCAGGAAAACTAAAACATTCATCAAAGTCTACAGAGTCAAGGCACACAGGCCGCTCAAATCACAACGTCTAGACAAAGGATAAAACTATCTAAGCTCTAGTCTAGCTCACTCGGTCTCTACTCAAAACCTGTAGAACAAGGAAAACATAACATGGGGATAACACCTGGTAAGCGAACATTGCTGGTAACCCATCAATACGCGTTAAATAGCATATAGATAAGTATAAGTCAAAACCATTTTGAAACGGAATACAGTATATATATCATTTCAAAAGCCATAGAGAAAAGTCAACTTCAAGGACTCATTCACACTCTCAAAGGGAAAGGAAATCAACATCTTTACGACAACAACAAGACAAGAATACCAACTGTAAACAAACAACTCGAGATGCATTCTACTGATCACAAAGTAGAATACATCGAGACATGCTCACTAACAAAGGATAGACATTCACACATTGGCAACTACATGCCACAATGACAACTACATGTCACAAATATCACGGTTCCAAGTTCCAACCTTATGCCCTGTTCCAATCTTATGGCTACCCCCGGCCTTATTTCAGTTCCAACCATTACCTCCTAGTGCCACCCTGTACTTCTGAGTCCAACATTTTGCCTCCGGGGACCGTTGCCCCCATCGCCGACACTCCTATTCACCACCGATCTCTTATTACACGAGGGTACCATTAAATATCATATCACAAAACCACCAATCTCGTGAGCAAAGCTCAAGTAACAAACCACCAATCTCAATCATAGCCACACAAGTCATCATCATTACCAAGAAGACTAAGGTTCAACAATAACCTTAATCAAGCATCAATCAAGGGGTACAACGATTACATACGTTCACATCATAGGAATCAATCAATGGATCACAACAAAGATATGAAACCATACTCAACAACGAAGGATCACAATCCGACACCAAACAATGGTCAACACAAGTTGCCAATCTCAATAGGAAAGAACAAACCGCACATACTAGCATTTCAACATCAAACTAGCATGCTTATCAAACGGGTAAACCAAAAGTAGTTCCATAGAACATACAAGACTCACAATAGTCCAACGAATCACAAAGTCGGACACTTAGCACGATTCAAGACACTAAATCCTAACATGGATTCCTAACTCATCGTTCTAGACATACGAAACATCAAGAAGACACTCAAATAGCCCAATAAAACAACATCGGGAGGTCAAAACATCCATACCGAGTCAAAAGAATCACGGGGAACAAATCCCCGACAACCACCATACATGTTCCCCGCGGGTGGGGCCATAGCTGGACAACCACCCGTGGTTCCGCCCGCGGATACTCAACCCACAAGCCTTGTTCCCCCGCGGGTGGGGCGGCGGGTGGTACCCTGCCCGCCATTCCGCCCACGGGTACACCATGTGTTCCAAAATAATCCCTTCGGGGATTTTCAACAACAAGTCCAAATTCAAGTCCAAAACACCCAAAATCTCACACAAAACAACAATATGACTTGAACCCAAGAAATATCCAAGCAATGGCATACAAGAACCCTAAGAACAAGCTGTAAACATGCATCACCACAAGACAATGCATCAAATCTCACATTTCAACACAAGAATCACATGTAGAAGCCAAGAAATCATCATATAAGTAAGAAAATAGGTTTTGTAAAGCATGGGTTACCTTTTTAGCCTAAAACTTCTATTTCTCACCCTTAGAAAACCTCTCTTAAAGCTCTTCTTCCTCACCAACTTCATAAAGAAACCAAAAGACAACAAAGATTATATTTTTAGAAAAAAGACATCTAAAAGGAGGTTAAAAACACTAAAAGATCAAGGATCTTACCCTCCCCTATGCTCAATATTAGGAAAGTAGGAATCTTGGAAGACAACTTACAAGATTTAGGATGCCCAAATTTTAGCTTGGAGAAGAAGCTACCAAATTCTTAGAGAGAAGGTAGAGATTTTGTGTTTAGATTGTTGGTGAATGAAATGAAGAGATGTTGCTAGGTTAGCTTGAAGCACAAACCTTAGGTAGAAAGATATCTTTGCCCTTACTAAAGTTGGAAGAATAAAGAAACAAGGGAACAACCCAATAAGCATAAGGTACAACCCTTTGACCTTGAATAACTAGTCAAATTCTAGTCCTTCGACTATTGAATTTTCAGGATTTTAGGGATAAATTAACAAGGAGACTAGGATTAATTAGAAAATTAATCCTTGATTAGAGTTTGGATTTACGGGGTGTCACAGATTAAGCTAGGAAGGTAGTGTAGGCAAGGTGTTCGAGGAAATGTCTTATAGATTCTAAGAGCCCAAAGGGGAATTCTAGTTTCTAGAAGACAAGTCCTAGTAATTGAAGAATGAAAGGACATTAGCAATCTCTCTAGATTCTAGCATTTGCATCATCTTACCCTAAGCAAATGATCCTAGTTGCATCATGTGAAATACTATCAATTCAATCCCCTTTTATTTCATTTGTTAATTCAATTTGTTTGTTGTTTAGTTGATATGTACTCATTGCTACAACTCGATTCCATAATGCGTGACACTTGCTCATTCACACACACACCACTTTCTTGACGTTGCTATCGTTTGGCTACTCCAATTTGTCATCCCGAGAGAATGATAAAAATTCGGGATTCATCCCACTTATTTGACTCCTCTCTATTGAGCTTCCGAGCTTGAAAGGGGGTGGACGTCAGATATCCACCAGGTAGGATACCAGGTTATAAATCCAAGAATAAGTAGACTCGGAATACGGGAAACACAATCTCTCCCATCAGTCATCACTGTACCAATTAACCTACTACTAGTACTATTCAAGACATTGGCATTGCGATTTCATCTGAACAGCTCCAAAATCTGGTGTCCATGATACAAAACAAAGTTGGCCACACTATTCCAAACACATCCACTACAACCACCATTACCATCACAGCTTCTGGTTTTATAACAAACCTTAAGACCACAGGGGGGAAATCATCTGAAGGTAAGTATACCTTTGTTGCTACCGTTAATATGTTGATGAAACAATCTAATGTTTGGATATTGGACACCGGGGCAACAAATCACATAGTTTGTAGTTTGAGTTATTTTGATGAGTATGTCAACGTTCAGGGTACTATGGTTAATATGCCCAATGGTGATCATGTTCATGTCACACATATGGGGAATATAAAACTCTCTGAAGGTTTTTGGTTACAAAATGTGCTCTACATTCCTGCTTTTAGCTTTAACATTGTTTCAGCTAGTAAACTGACTAAACGCTCAGCATGCAGTTTAATTGTGATCGTTGATAAATGCTTAATCCATGAGGGACCTGGTACGAAGATGATTGGTTTTGCTAGAGAGGAGAAAGGACTCTATCACTTTATCAATCCACCCCAGAAGAAAGAGAGTTTTAATTCATTTTCTATTGAAATGCAGTGTTCTTCTGTGAGTTTAGAAGTTTGCCATATTAGACTTAGGCATTTCCCTATTAATAAGATGCATTTTTTACATGATGTTCAGTGTTCTTTTCACTGCTAAGGATTTGATCTGTGATGTTTGCCATTTTGCAAAGCATTAGAGAAGTCCTTTTCCTACTACTATTTCTACAACAGCAGCTTACTTTGATCTTGTGCATACTGACATTTGGGGGCCATTTTCTACTTGTTCCTTGAATGGGTAATACTATTTTTTTTTACTATAGTTGATGATTACAGTAGATTCACCTGGTTGCATATGATGAAACATAAATCTGAGACAACTTTCCTAAACAAAAAATTGTAGTTATGTAGCCCCACAATTATCTGCCAAAATTAAAATGGTGAGGAGTGATAATGGGGATGAATTTAATATGCCTGATTTCTATAATGAGAAAAGCATCATACAACAAACAACATGTGTTGATACTTGATAAGCATCAAAATATGCTAGTTTTTAGGAGCCTTTTGAAGGTGTTTTTGCATGCTTTTAACCTTAAAGTCTTGCATTTAAGAGTAAATTATCCTAAAACACGGTTTAGCACAAAGATACCTCCCCAATTGTATTTTGCATGATTATAGGTGCTTTTGGACAAAAAAAAAGTGGCAAAAATAGGTTGAAATGACAAAGCTAAGGAAAGAACACCTCCGGTGCACCATTCCCGCCACAACCATACATGAAAGGAGAAGAAATGGGATTATTTCCCATTTACGCCCACATTATGGCGTAAAAGAGAGCGTGACAAGCTGAAGGAAGACGCGCGTTGGAAGGAAGGAATTATTTCACATTTACGCCGTGGTCGCTGCGTAAGGCAAAGCTGGGAGGAAGGCGCATTGAGGAGGGCGTTAAATTCCATTTATGCACGCATCACGACGTAAGGGAGTGCGTAAATGGGCTGCTAAATTCCAATCCTAGCTATTTAAGGAAAAATATGATTCATTTGCTGGGGGAGTTCCACAATTTTAGAGAGAAGTTTTTAAATAGATTTTAGATCTAGAGTAGTTTACATTTTCTCTCTCTAGGTTTTAGCCAAAAACCCTTTTCATTTGCAAGAAGATTTGAAGATTTGGAGCAATTTGTAGCTTGGATCTTCATTTCCCCCTTGTCATTGAAGAAATCTACCCCTTACTCTTTATTGCTTATATCTTATTTTGCCTATTTTGCAATTGTTTGATCTTGATCTTAATGATGGTTGGCTAAAATTCTAGGGATTAGGATTGTTGTGTAAATTGCTATTGTGTTGATGGGTTTGTTTTGATTTGCTATATTGTGGTGATTGATTGATGATGTTATGAATGCCTTGTTGTTAAGGATGATCTTTGTAGCTTCCTTGGAGTGGGGCCCAACTCCGATGTTGGATTCCTTGATTTAGGCAAGAGATTGCTAAATCTAGGTATGCCTCTTAATCCTCTACATTCCTCACCCTAGATCCGAGAGGATAATGGTCCGGGAAGGAATGTAGGCAAGGTGTTCGAGAATTTTCCCCATAGGAAATGTGAACACCTAGGTGTCATAATTTGCTATGGGAGGCGTTTAGACCGAAATGGTGACACATTATCAACGTTTCTCTTTACTAGTAACTCACATTCAAATCACCACAACCTCTCAACTGAGGGAACAACCAATCACACAATGCAATTGTAGCACAATCCTAATCCATTTTTCTTCTAATATATTTTCTTTTAATTCAAAGTTTTCTATTCTTTGCTTCTTAACAATCAACTCTCTTCTCAACCTTACTTGAATCGAATCACTCAAAGCGAAATCGACCTCACCATACATTCTGCCCAACTTCCAAGTTGTCATTCCTTGAGTACAACACTCGGGAATTTCATATCCTCGTTTACACTTTACATCCTACATCACCCCGCTAAATTACATTCCGTCAGTACTCCACAACAGAGTGCTGTTGTAGAAAGAAAACATCAACATATATTGAATGTGGCTAGGGCCTTATGGTTTCAAGCTGGATTGCATCTACAATTTTGGGGACATTGTGTGCTCCATGCTGTATATTTGATCAATAGAGTGCCATCTCAAGTAATTGGTTGGAGAACACCTTTTGAAGTTTTGTTTGGAAAACCGGTTATCTATGATCATCTGAGAGTGTTTGGTTGTCTGAGTTTTGCTTCCACATTGTCCTAACCAAGACAAAAGGCACCCAGGGGCAGGAAGTGTGTTTTTCTTGGCTATCCAGCCAATGTCAAAGGTTATATACTATATGATCTTCATGATAATTCTTTTTTATCTCCGGGGATGTAACATTTTGAAGAATCTTTCAATCCTGCATTGCCAATTATGTTTTCTAGCTCAGAACTAGCCTTGCCTCAAGGTGCTTTATCTGTCTCAATGAGAGGCTATAAAATGAGTGATAATAACTTGCAAGCAGACCATCATATACAAATGACAGATATAGAGTCTGAGTAATAGCGGCATATGGGAAATTCAGAGTCTGTACAGCCAGGTCATTTTGAGCAATCTGACCTCGGTTCTCTGCAGATTGAGGAACTTGAGCAACCCTTGCAACTAAGAAGGTCCATGAGAACGAAGTCTGTTCTAGTACGACTACAGGATTATCATTGTGGTATGTTGACACAAGTCCAGAAAAAGCCTACTTCTCCTCATTCATTGCACTTAGTCCTTTCATATGATCATCTAACCCCAGCTCATAAAGTTTTTTCCACCATTTTTTCTTCAACTGATGAGCCTAAGACTTATGAGCAAGCGGTGCAGCATGAGTGTTGGAGAGCTGCAATGCAAGCAGAAATTCAAGCACTACAGGATAATCAAACATGGGCCCTTACTGACCTACCTGAAGGGAAGGTGCCTATCGGATGTAAATGGGTTTGTAAGGTAAAATACAATGCCGATGGGTCTGTGGAAAGTCATAAGACAAGGTTAGTTGCGAAAGGATATACACAACAACTTGGAATAGATTATATTGAAACATTCTCTCCAGTTGCAAGGATTACTACCATTAGAACCATCATGGCAGTAGCAGTGGCAAAGGGATGGTTCCCTCAGCAAATGGATGTTAACAATGTGTTTCTACATGGTGATTTAAAAGAAGACATATACATGGTTCTACCACCTAGATTTCATAATGAGAAGCCAAATCAGGTTTGTAAGCTAATGAAATCACTTTATGGGCTTAAACAGACCAGCAGACAATGGAATGCAAAGCTCACAACTGCTCTGCTGAGTATTAATTTCACTCAGGCTAAATCTGACATGTCTTTATTCATTAAGGCTTCTTTAGGTTGTTTTATTGCCCTCTTGGTTTATGTTGATGATATAATTGTTGCCAGCAACCGGCTAAGCTCTATTGAGGAGTTCGAGGAATTCTTGAATTCAACCTTCAAAATCAAGGAACTTGGAGAATTGAGCTACTTCTTAGGCATTGAAGCTGCAAGATCCCCTGTTGGTCTCAACTTATGCCAAAGGAAATACACTATTGATATCTTGAAAGAATCTGGTTTCTTAAATAGCAAGCCCGTGACGAGTCCAATGGTTCCAGGGCAAAGGTTACGTCATGATGATGCCCCTCTGCTCACAGATGTAGGAACATATAGAAGGTTGGTGGGTAGCTTGTTGTACCTCACAGCAACAAGACCAGATATTACGTATGCCGTACAAAAACTCAGCCAATTTATAGATAGACCTACTAAAAACCACTTATCTGCAGCTCATAGAGTCTTAAGGTATTTGAAAGCAGCCCCAAGAAAAGAAATTTTTTACTCAGCAAATTCAGAAATCCACTTGCAAGCCTTCCCTGATTCTGACTGGGCAGCTTGTTCAAAAACAAGGAGGTCCATCTCATGTTTTTGCATTTTCTTAAGAGAATCCCTCATCTCTTGGAAGTCCAAAAAGTATCTAACAGTGTCTAGATCCTCTTCAGAAGCGAAATACAGGTCAATAGCAATAGCAGTCTGTGAAATCCAATGGATCTTGTTTTTGCTAAGTGATCTGAGGGTTGTTCCTTCTAAGTCAGCAACTTTCTTCTGCGACAATAAGTCAGTCATTACCATTGGAGAAAATTATGTGTTCCACGAAAGAATGAAACACATAGATATTGACTGCCATATTGTTCGAAAAAAACTGCAGCAAGGTCTCATAAAGCTCATGTACTTTCCTTCCGTTAGTCAGATTGCAGATGGTTTCACCAAGGCATTACTTTTGTCACAGTTTTCTATTTTCATCTTTAAGCTGGGCTTACAAGACTTGTACGCTCCAACTTACAGGGTGTCAAAGTAAGCGGTGCAGTTGCTGTCAACTAAGCTAGTAGGTTATATCTGTAATAAAGCAATTAATTAGTTTGCTTGAGGGTACTTTAGTAATTAGAGCAGGCTATAAATAGCCCCTAATATAGCTCTTATCTGTAATGTTGACAATTCCTAGATAATACAGTGTCTTCTTCTTCCTCTTTCTTCATGAATCTTCTTCCATTAGTCTGTAAATAACCTTCTAAATAGGTATAGGCCTATATATAGCCACTCCTAATTCCTTATCATCTCTAAATACCTACACTCTCACGTTTTTGCTTAAAATAACGAGTATATAATATCATTCATATGCTGCTATCATAATTAATCCATTAATATTTATAATAAAACAAACGAATATTAAAAATTCTATTGCAAGCACCTTGTACTCAGATGACATCATTGACATGTAGTGACCTCTCCCAACCTCAGTAGAGGCGTGAACATTGTTGACTCTTTGTGTTTTATTACATTGAAAAAGTATATTTGAACAGATACTACATTGTAATAGAGTCAGTAGCATTAAAAAAAAAAAAAAAAAAAAAAAAAAAAAAAAAACTATCTTTATTTTCCTTTTTGTTTTTTTCTCTTCTATGGATAAAACGTGTAGCACTAGAGCATCCAATTCTCAAACACATACATACTTTGACGTACTATCCAGAAAAATCAGTCCCCGGGCCCACCCAACTGTGATCCCCACCCCCATGCATTTATCTCTCTCCCCCCATACCGTCCCTTACTCCCTCCCTCTCGAAATATCTCGATCAATCTCTTCCGTTTCCAACCTAACTTGCTTTTGTTTTTGTCTTCTTTACGAACAGTCAAACGTTAAACCTCAGCTCGAATGAGTCTTTGTTGTTTGTCATCATAGTTTTTCACGAATAACTTGAGTACCTCATCGGCTTCTTTGTAATTCTTGGAGCTTAATTGCTTAATTAATTGTTTCGTACGAGGAAATGGAGATGGAGATGAATCTCACACTAAGTCGGAGAGTTCTGCAAGTAAACGACCACGATTCTTTCTCGCCGGCCACCGGGAATTCCAAAGAGCAAGCTACCGGATTCAACAAACCCACCTCGGCTTTTGACTCCTCCCTGGCGCTAACGGTTCTCGTTATGCTCACGGCTCTCTTCTTCATGGGCTTCTTTTCCATCTACATCCGCCACTTCACCTCCGCCGCCGACGGCGGCGGCGGCGGCGGGGAAGCGGAGGACGAATTGCGACAAAGACACCCATCTCAGCCGTCGACGTTGAGGTGCCACGCAGGCAAAAAGGGTCTTGACCCCGCCGCCATCCGGGCGCTGCCGGCGGTTTCGTACGGCGGGGCGGCGGAGCACCTGATGGAGGAATGCCCGATTTGTTTGTCGGAGTTCGAGTTGAAGGAAACCCTGAAAATTATCCCCTGCTGCGGCCACGTGTTTCACTTCAAGTGCATTGACACGTGGCTCTCCTCCCACGTGTCCTGCCCGCTCTGTCGGTCCACGCAGTTTTTCAACAACGTTCACGATGTCCGGTTGGATGTATCGCCGGAAGTTAATCACGACGGTGAGCGACGGATCAACGGCTAACGACGACCGTTTTGCTCCACGTGGCGATTTATTTGTATATATACTACTTGTAATTTGTAAAGTACGAAGATTAACAAAAATTAATTTCTTAAACAACGGACTAATGCTTCTTTTTTTTTAATAATTTCGCTTATTAATTATTTGACGCGATTTCATATGAAATTCAAAATATTTCGACAATTTTATATAATTTAATACAAAAATATATATATCTCTCGGAGATAGTATGTCTGTTGCCAAAAAATAAATAAGTTATTGGGTAAATATTTTCATGATTGGATAATAAAATTGGATAAAAAGTTTTACATTATTAACAAATTTTTAAAAAGTTTAATATGATAATAAGTGGAAGATTCATTGCTGGTGGTCCGTCACAATCCAATTTTGATCCACAAGTTTGTTGTCAATATCTGATTATTTGAGTACAAAATGAGTGAAAGGACAATAATTATTAGGGTAGGTTTGTTTGGTTTAAAGAGATTGCATTGGAAAAGATAATTATATCTGTTAAGTAAAACTTAACAATCATTGTTTTCTTAATGATTCAAATTTGCATATAGCCTATTCACTTTTTAGTTAATTAAGATATTAGTCAATTATAAACAAGACTTAATTCTAGCAATGGTCTTCCGACTATAGTGATTTTTCAAAATTAGTCCCCGACTTTTAATTTGGACACTTTAGGTCCCTTGACTTTCAATTTCTTTCCAATTGAGGTCCATTCGTTAGAATACGGTTCATTAGACTTTAAATGAAGGGGTAAACTCATCCTTTCACATGTCTATGTATTATTCTTCGTATTTCTCCCTTTGTATTTCGCTGTTATACCTTGTAAACATCATAATAATAGAGGAACGCATACTTGAGTAGTCAGCAAATGGGGAACGACGAGGAACATTTTAGGGTTTCGACTAAGATTATCTTCATATCTATCGCGTATAAAATGGAGAAATACTAAGAATAATACATAGGCAGGTGAAATGATGAGTTTACCCCTACATTTAAAATTCAATTAACCGTATTCTGACGAAAGGACCTCAATTGGAAAGAAATTAAAAGTCAAAGGACCTAAAGTGTCCAAATTAAAAGTCAAGGACTAATTTTGGAAAATCAATATAGTCGGAGGACCATTGCTGGAATTAACTCTATAAACAATTTAGTTTCACTTATGGTTTACTCTCCTGTAAATTTTTGTTGGTTAGGGTTACAAGGTGAATTTCATTCAGAACACACATTCAGATTACCATAGACTTTCTTAGATTGAATTGATCATTTATGCACAATATATATAAACTAATTTATCTTCTTGTAGTCTTTTACTAGCTAGAGTCGCAAAGCGAACTTCACTCAAAGTACATATTCAGATAGCGACTGTAAATTTTTTCACAAATAAAATAATTATTGTTTAGAGGACGATATTTTGTTTTCTTTAAGCGGAGAGAGAAATTTTAAATATCTCGTTCAACAAAAATGGACTTTTTACATAGCCGAAAAACACCATATTATATTGATCATCCAAAAGGATCTAGTAAAGAATCATAGGAAGACTATCAATCATTAAAGTTCAAACCATTCCAACTCGGGGGAATGTTAGACTTGGAGTGAGAAACTCACAAGGACATTTACCGTTCTATTTTGTTCTCTAAGGTCATCTCTAATCCAAAACAGCAAATTCTGCACCAAAATAAATATTTCAACATATTCTTACGCTAATTTTTTTTTTTCTTTTTATCTCCAACCTATTTACACCAAATTTTATTCATATATTAAAAAATTTATATTCTCATAAATTAAAAGTTTACTTTTATATTTTTATTATTTTAATATAACATATAATCGTAATTTAATGTAATTTAATAAATTACAACTTTAATTATGTTTTATGTAATTTAATTTTTAATTAAGTTATATTCAATATTAGTCTTGTTTTAATATTAGATCTTTTAAATGATACAAAAGGAATTATTAAAAAGGTTAAGAACAAAAATAAAAAATAAAAAAAAAAAACAGTGTACGATGAAGTGCAGTGCCATATATATGGTGCTGCACTATTCATGAAACGTCAAATGATTTGCTCCATTCACATGGGTGAGGATTGAACCCCCAACCTCATGCTTAAGGGACGAGGTGCTGAACCACCACGTCAACCATGTTGGTTACACGCGTAATTCTAATGCTGCAAGTATTGTTTCTTAAAAATTATGATCCATAGAAATATATTCCTGTCCAGTTTAGTTAAATGTTATGCCAAGATACAATGGTCCAAAGCATTACACATTTTGAGCATCTTACAAGGTATAAATATATTGATGTCTCCAGATGATTTTTCTTTGTTTTTCCCTACAGTGAATATGCCTCATTGTTCTATGCACACACCCAGCAACAGTATATGCTGATTGTACTTGCAAGCCATTCACCAAAAATTAAAAATAAAAGCTCTGTTAGCGATATTAGGGTTTGGAGGAGAAAACGAAGCTTCACCTCCGCTTATTCTAACCTTAACGATGAATTTAGCAGCCATCCCTGCAAATCAAGTTATCCATGTAGCTAAGTAAGAAGCAAGAGAATAAATAAATAGTTCATAGGTTGAAGGAGGCTTTATCGAGTTGGAAAGGTCACCGAGAGCAACCTCGGGTGAGGTATCGTGGTCCCTCTGTATGTAAACAATGCATGAGTACGTTGAAGGCGGGTTTATTGAGTTAGAAAGGCCTTAACATGAAGTCAAGGATTGACCTCCATCTCGGGTGGGAGAGGTATTGTGGACCCTTAGCAAGTATTTACAAAGGTTAACTATTGTGCGTTTATATGTTATGGAGAAAAAATAAATACGGGATATGAGCATACGAGGGGAAAATTACCTGGATAGACCTAAAACAGCAGGTGTGCTGAAAGTATTATATTCCTCGTATTTTATTCGGGTTTAGATCAACCTACTATTCTCCATTATTGTATACAGTAAGCTCGGATCACCTCAACTACTGGCGCCCGACACATTGGGCACTTTCCTTGTCCTTGGACCAACTTCTCTGCACATTTTGAGCATGTGCACATGTGCCCACACCTATACAAATAAGATAAGAATATTGTCAGAAAAAATTCCTGACAATGATCAAACTATCACAGCAATTTACGAGATCTGTTCTTTACCTGTAGAGTAAGGAATCTATGTTGCTGTTACAACACAAGCAGCAAATTCCCTTTCTTACTTTGTCCCACTTCGATACATCGTTCAGGTGAACGTCGTCGCACACGTCCGCATCTGGTTGACGACACCAAATTGTCAGTGTCAGTTATATCAACAAATCAAGACACCAACAGAACACAAAACAAAGAACCAAAAAGGAATAGTATTGTAGTAATTGACAGTGAAAAATAAAATAATTAGCTAAATATGTAATCACAATAGGGCCAAGCACCTTGTGCACAAATGGCACCCGGGTTGGACTCCCATATAGGAGGTTGTGAGTTCGAGCCTCAATGGAGGCGTTATTGGCTCTTTGTGCTTCAGTAGGTTGAGAAAGTAGTTATGAACAGATACTACATTCTAATAGAGTCAGTAGCATTCAAAAATAAATAAATAAATGTAATCACAATAGGAAAACCGGTCTTAACCGGTCTTTCTTAACACAAAAAAAAAAGGGGGGGAAATGCATCCTAAATAGCAAAATAGATGGATCTACAGACCAATTTTTGGTGCGAATCGATTTAATGCTGCAGAAACTTCTTGCCACACTGAACGCTGCAGTTCAACTTGCATTTCCATGCACGCTTCTAGCATCCTCTGCATATTGTCCATCCTCTGGTGAAGTCTAACCATGTTAATTCTGAAGTCATTGATTATTTCCCATTCCTGCATTGGTAAATAATTTCAATTACAGTATGCCCAAGAAGAAAGATAAACCTCTCGAATTCTATTTACAAACAACTGCATATAAGTTCAGGGTATAATATATATTTCAGTTATGCTTTGGCATATGAAGAATTGAGATATACTTAAATGGTTTAGATAAAGAAAAAAGAGCGTGGTTTGTTAGCCTCTCTACTATATTCACTAATCCATTCCCATTACAATGAAATTCAAGAGGGTAGATGAACTTACCATTCCTGGATGCTGATGAGGGGTGTGGTGAAACAAATTTGAATCTGGCAACCCTTGTTCCCAAATAGGCAGAGAGAGAGAATCTGGTGAAGTCATATCAAGGCGATCTCTTTCTATACCATTTAGCTCATCTTCATCCTCATTACCATTGTCTTGCTGATGATCCTGCTCAATGTCACCCGGGGAGGATGAAGTTCCATTTATCTCCCAATCAAAAGAAGCATGCCCTTGCCTTTCCACATAAGACTGTATCAGCTGGTCTAGACTCTCACGGAAACCACTTTGAAGTAGATTGGAAACACGTCTCCTGTGCAGCAGTTACAAACTATAATAAATTTTCCATTTCGAAGAAATGTCTAAGCCCATTAAATTAGCTAAATGAATAACGTATGGCAGATAATACCTGCTGAGTAGTTCTCTAAGTTCCATGCTGTAAACATTATCGTCATCCGGGATGTAAAATGCATCGACGCTTCGAACTGGAGCAGCATTATGTGTAGAATGCTCGTCTAACCAGTCATCAATTTCCTCCTGTAGACCATCATTGTCATGCCATTCGTTATGTGATTCTTGCACATGACTTTGTTCTTCAACATCATTCTCCTGGCTTTCTTGATACCATTGGTCCGCAACACTTTCCTCCCAATCTCCACTTGTGTCTTCTTGAGCACCTTCTGACCATTCCCTGAATTCTTCAGTGGACAATTGTTGCAAATTAGTGTCTTCATGTTCTGTCACCAATTCCTGTGACTCTTCTGCTGGGGTCACAATGCCTTGCCAACCAAAATCATCAATGCTGTTTCTTTCCAAGCCATCTACACCATGTACCTCATGAACATCATTTATCTCATTGGGTGCATCATACTGATCAGAAATTTCATGGCTATGTAGCCCTTGACCTTCACTATCCTCCTCAGCCACAATACCCTGAGATCCTTCATTAAGATCATCCTCTCCTGAGTTTTGGATGGACTCGTGTTCTTGATCATGTA